AGTACCTCTCCTATGTCGTATAGGCTGCCGTCCCAAATCCAATGATGATACTCACAATGCAACGAGGTTTCTTAGATTGCTGATGATGGATGGAATAGACCCATTAACAGCGTTGTTGCTGATATATCTGATGGTACAACTCGTGAATCGATTTATTCAGAGATGAACATATATGAATATCAGAAACAAGAGGATCAATATAGCCAAAACATTCTCAACAACTACAATGAAGGTCTCGTACCCTGCTAGTCAGTGACACATATTTAAGACTGCATATGTCAATGGTTGATGTATGGAAAAGATATATTCAAGTCAAACTGTTCCATTAAGCGCATCAGAGAACCATGTCATTAATCCAAAAACAAAAAAAATCGAGGAAAAAAATATATAGAAAGCAAACAAAACAAAACAAACCAAACAAAGCATAGGAGAGCGACGAATAGCGTCATTGAGGAGGGGGGTCATACAGGAATGACATGCTGAAATGGGATTGCTTGACGAGCTGCCTATTCTAATAGGTGCATTCTATTGTCAACACAACACAAACAAGCGTTTCAAGAGTAAGTAACACTTTACTGGAATGGGCGCTATTACCAGTCTGTAAAAACATGCAAACATGTGCTTATACAAAAGTATCAGGGAAGAAAGGGTACAGTGTCAACAATATTTGGTGTTATATTAACAGCAAGAAACAAGAATGAGCTGAAACAACTGTTCATAAGAACTGCTTAGCACAGTAGTCCATAATATAATGTCTTCATATTTCCCACGCTAAGGTACAACAATAGCTTGCTTGTAACTGTACTGCAGTACCTGTTCCCTTGTCGCCTGAACGTTGCAGGATCTTGTCATGAGGCCGACAAGAATGCCTTTCATTGTTGCACCTGCATCATGAGTTCTAAACCAAGGCCTGGAGTTCCTTTGTTCCTGCCACATACCCGCGCACTTGTCAGCGCCCTTCAGCCCTTTCCCTTGGGCTTGAGTACACCCATCCCAGCAACTCTCCTTGTCGTGCACATTCCACCATCCATGTTCTTCTCCTGTGCTCACCCATTCTTACAATTCTGAGAGGGCGTTTTGGCAGCACGGGCCGTAGGGCCCACAACTGCTGGCTGTTGCTGTAGTTGAAGAAATGGATCAGATTCATCCACGCAAAAGGTGAAATTTATATCGAACTCCTTTGGTACTGACAGGTGCTGAAGTCTTGTCATGTTACTGATGGTGGATGGAATAGATCCAGTCAGACTGTTGTATGATAGACTCCTGATTGGAAGTAATCACAAAGGTTCCCAATCAAGGAAAGATAGCAACTGATTAAGGGGCAGGGGTGAGTGAAAACTAGAATCGAACATGTCAACATATATTCATGACATCATACACACGTTTTAGCAGGCAGCTAGGGCTGCAAGGGTGGATATGTCACGATGAGATATAAGGTGACCCTGACGCATGGTGCCTATTGTAGCAGATGGCTCCTAGTGTGATTTCAAGCAGGTTTTCTACACCCAGCACAAAAGTTGTAACACAATTCTCTAACTATAATATATCACAACAATGGATAGCAAGAGATACCATGAGAGTTCCTTCAATGAATGATACGCAAGCAGGAAAACATGCCTGTACACTAGAGAAGCAGTGAGAATAGCCGCCTTGGAGGTGGCCATGAGCCAAGGCCAGCCTGGCTCAGGGAGCCAGCGTAGAGATGAGCATCCGGCCTGGCCCGACCCGACCCGACCCGACTTGGCCGGGCCACACGGGCTCCCGGGTCGGGTCGGGTCGGGCAAACCTCGGGCCAGGGTGCTGAAGGTTCTGGCCCGACCCGGGCCTACACACTCGGGTCAACTTGGACCCGGTTACGGGTTGGGTCGGGTTGGGCCAGGCGGATCCGCCCATGTTTAGGGGCCAGTGGCGTGTGTGTTGTGGATGTTTTTTCTATGTTGGAATATACGCATTTAGTGTATATACGCGTATCGTATATACGCTGTCGTGTATACGCTATACGCTCCTAGGTCAGTTTGGATATTCGTTTTTTCGGGCAGGGGAAAATTTTTCCCAGGCAGGGTGAAAAAACCGTCGTGCTCAACATCGGGAAGGTGTTTCGTACTCTAACTAGGATTCTCGTGGCAAATTTTCTAGATCTGAACGGCGATTGGGGTGGGATGTGTAGTAAACATTATCGCTAGAAGGAGTAGGAATCGGAATCAACTCTGTCGGAAGCGAGAAAGAAAACTAGAAATGACCAGTGAAGCTGGGCTGGCTGGTAAGCGTGACTGGGATTTGTTGGGGGGACATTTGACATGTTGGAGTTCGTAGATGGGAAGGGTTTCAATGTGGTACTAATTGAAAATTGTAGATCTGAACTGCCAGACGTGACTGATAACTTTAAAGGCAGATTCCCGCTTCCCTGGACCACCGAAATGCATCTCGACTTCGGCAAAATGCTCACCAGGAGATTCCGCATCTTTCTGTATACACAAGATTTTTTTCCTTGGGCAGCCCAAAAATAAATCTGACTGCGTATAGCGTATTAGTAAGCGTATAGCGTTTTGAGTATAAACCCAAGCGTGTAAACGCTATACACTTTAGGGTCTGAGCGTACATTCCAACATAGTGTTTTTTTGGTTTTAGTGTATAACATATGCTGTAAGTACTCTTATCCAGCATAGTCAATGAGGTTTGAACGGGTGGTAACTAAGTAGTTTCTAAGCTTAGGTGACTTCATTGCTGCCGTTAGGCAAGATTGAGAGCGTGGGTAGGTAGGTTCTGATGTCGAGGGGATAAAAAACCCCTCGACAACATTTTGCCCTAGAATTTCGTCCCCAGAGTGTCAAAATCGGGTCGGGTCAAAATCCCGACCCGAACTCCATGGTCCTGATCCGAATTCGGGTCGGGTCAAAGCTGACCCGAAACCCGACCCGACTAGGCCCGAGTCCCATGCTCGGGTCGGGTTTTAGCCCGGGTCGGGTCGGGTCGGCCCGCAGGGCTATGTTGCTTGCGCCTGTCGCGTCAGGCGCTTTTGACGCTGGCGTCTGGACGGGACGTCTAGACGCTTGACGCCCGGTGTCCTCTGCCCTGGACGCCCGCTTGACGCTAGTCCGGGCAGGGCAAAACTTTTCCCGGGCAGGGGTAAAAAGAACCTGCCTAGTAAGGATACGCAGGGGTTAGAATGCAAGAAGTTCACCTAAAGTTATAAATACTCCATAAAATCCTGAAAATCCTGAAAATCCTGTGGAGCCACCAACAGAATGATCGGCGGGACTAGGAGTTGACATAATATCTGAATCGCCTTAACCTAATTTTAGCTTGGAAGGCTTAGTAGCGTGACTGGCTTATTCTAGTGTAAGGAACGCTAGAGACCCTTCCAGAGCGTCAGGCGCAACATAGGCACGGGGCAGGCAAATGAAACCACTGACTCGATCCGGGCTAAACCACGACCCGACCCGAGCGGGGCAAATGCTCATCTCTAAGCCAGGGTATAGCCATGAGCCATGAGCAAGGGCCGGCCTGAGAAAACTTAAATCGATCAGAGAGTCCGACCAGGGCCGACTTGCGTTAGGCTCAGACTTGCTCAAATCTGAGGTTTGTGGCCACATCCGCACGGCCAAAGGTTTTCGATCCAGTCTGTGTAAATGTGATGTTTTGCAGCTGATTACGTGAAACATGGGATATAGGGAAGACAATGTGGTTACACTGAAGGCTCAGCAAAACCAAACCGAATATGCTGGATTTTACAAATAGGTAGGTTTCCTAGCAATGTGCAGCATATTTGAATCTTGAGCTCAAGGATACACCTTGACCCAAGGCAAACCGGTTGGATCTGGCCACATCAGACGGTTTGAGCTGGTTCGACCCCACACAGTACCGCTTTGAAAATCTCATACCTACAGCCACTCGTGAGGGACCTTTGATGTGACTCTGACCCTTCAGTGCTCACCTGGACTGGCCCTTGCTCATGTGTAGCGTGCATAATCATACTCATGCTTCCAAGTTACCCAAGCCAAAGGTGGAAGTTCGCTTGGAAAATACCGAAACTCACAGGAAAGTGAGACTGCTCATGGTGCCAATGGTGGATGGAATAGACCCAGTCAAACTGTTGTTATAAAGAGAGCTGTGAGTATGTAAATGCAAGAGGTTCGATCCAAGGGAGACAGAGAGAGTAAAGGGGTGAAAAATTTGAACAGAAACACCGGTTAAACAACATCAAGAACATGTGCTCAGCATGAAATTTCACATTTGTTCGGCAATTTCCACCGAGCAGCAATTTTACAGAGCTGGACACCCTGATTTTCTCTCAACATCGTCAGAAATCTTAAATTCTGAGATCCATGATTTAAGTAGCCTTAGGAAACAAGACAAACACAGCCAAGTTAGAAGCCATGACATGTAGTAACCATACGCTTGTTACATCAATTGTGTTTTAGAATGGCTGCATATGTTGTGAGGATGTCATGTTGATATGTGAACATGAAATGAGTTACCCTTTCTAAGTGTGCACAGAAACATATTATGTATGCTCTAAGATACCATGTCTTTTCTTACTCACAAAAATCTCAGCCTCTCCAGGGCACTGATGGAATCTGGAATGGATCCGGTTAGGCCTTCATTCAGTGGATAGCTGGTGGGCAGTGGAATGGAATGGGTGGACAGGGGAGATTTGAAATGATAAGAATAGAATGGTGTGTTGGGGATTATGTGAGAACAAGGGGCCTCTACAGCCCATCTGTTGTCCACTTGTGTCTACGTGCAAGGAGGGTCATAGCACCTAATAGTAGCGTTAAGGTTGGTGCTTTGATGCACAAAAAGACCTTCCAATGTGAGCCGCGCAAATGAAATGGACGGAAAAGGAGGGGGGGGTGGTAAAGCAGCACTTAAACTTTATCTACCTTACATATGTCTACGCGCATTTTCTGAATTCTCAGATGGTTGGTCCCGTTTTGTGATTACGTACGGAAGAAGAGTAAATGTCGGGCTTCAAAACCATGGGCATTGGCAGATAGGAATTAGTTTCCACTCCACAGAGGAGCTCTGCGCAAAGAGCAACCCATCAAGCAAGAACCCCAAGCAACCGTATCCACGGCTCGACCGCACTCATTACCATTGCAAACTTTTCCAAACCTCTCGCCCATTTTCTCTACTCCTTTGGAACACTTTAACATAACAGTTCCGGGTTTCAGTTCTCCGTCCCTCTGTGAATCCCAATCTCTCTTATGAGTCAGACGTGGCACTAGTTGATGTGTCCGTTTACTGCCGTTATCAAAATTATTCACCTTCCCTCAACAGTGGTGGGGTTCTTATTTAGAGGTTTTGTTACAAAACGGAGTGAGCTTGGAGGACAAGACAATCCATGGATGGGAGGAGTGGTTCAAGAAGAGAGGGAGATCAAGTGACAGAGCCTCTTACAGCCCTAGCTAACCGCTCTCCTGTGTTGGAATATACGCTCAAACCCTCCTTGAAAGCCATGTCGGTCTCAGGATCGTAAACACCTTAGTCGGCAATAGTCTACTTGCTATCGCCTATCGTGTTCTCCACGATCTCACGAATCCAATGATATGCGCAGCTCTGCTTGAAGTTGTCAATACACACTTCAGCAATTTTCAGAATCTCCAACTGATCAATGTTGTATTTCCAGAATGAGTACAAACAGGTTTTTAGTCAAGCAAGACACAAAATGCTTTTTGTAACTTCATTTGTTTCCCAAGTAACCGCGTGCGCCTCATTTCACCCCGAGTCGCACACGCAATCGAACCGAATTCGGTGAACACTCCTCAAGTCCCAATCTGGAACCTTCTCGAATGCGCCTTGGTCTCAAACCACATTTTCCCCTCGTCAACTTCAATCTCGATGCTTCTTCCACCTTCTCACACATTCCTTCTCGATTTCTCTCCCTTCTCACGTCGTAGGCCGATTTCCACCGCTTCTCTCTAGAATAGTCCACACGCTTCCGTCGCCTTCATTCTGCCGTCTCGACCGTATTATGTGCGCCGTCATTAGTGTGGTTCCGCGAACCACTCCAACAACCTCCCCTGTGGTTCGTGAACCACACCTCCACTTCCCTGTTCCGTTGCAGCCCTCATGGAGTCGAATTTGGCTTCACACTCCCCTGAATCTCCTGCAACTTGCGCATCCCCACCTTCTCCTTGCAATACTCAAAGCTAGACCTAGGTAGCACTTTGGTCAAGAAATCTGCCACTTGCTCCTCAGTGGGAACGAACTCAAACTTGAACTGCTGCTTCTCGAGCTGCTCCCGTACCCAGTGATACTTCACATTCATGTGCTTCGTCCTCCCATGCCAATTGTCGTTTCTGGCCAAGTCAATGGCCGACTTGCTATCAGACTTCACAACAGTAGGTCCTTCAATAGTGATGTCGAGCTCCTTCATCAGCCTCCTCAGCCACACTCCCTCTTGGCACGCAAAGAACAGTGCCATGTACTCCGATTCAGCAGTTGACAATGCTATGCCCGCCAATTTCTTTGCTTGCCACGTGATGGCAGTGCCCCCGTGAAGGAACACGTACCCATATGCGCCTTTCCCTGTTTTCTTGTCCGATGCATGTGAGGCATCCGCATACCCCACCAGCTGCAAAGTCTCTTCTCCTCCCTCAAAGAGAAGCCTCTCCTCGTCATGCTGCACCAAATAACTAAGTGCCCGCTTCATTTCCCGCCATTTCCTTCCCTGCTGCACATGCTGCCCCAAGTAACTCGCCGCATACGCCATGTCGACCTTTGTGCATGAAACCGGATACATAACCGATCCCACCATCGACTGGTACATCTGCAGCGCTTTCTCTTCTCCTCCCCACTGCTTCACATCCTCTTCCTGCTCGTTATCATTTGCTGCCATGCCGCTGAGTGGTGTCGTGATCTCCTTGGTGAAACCCTGGCCTAACCTCTGCTGCACCCGGTTGCAATACCTTTTCTGGTACAAGAAGAGCTTCTTCTCTTCCACATTCCGCTCCAGGTTCATCCCCAAAAACAGCGTTGTCCTAAGAATCTGTTTCACCTGAAAAACCTCAGCAAGATGGTCACACACTCTCTCCACCTCAGCCGGTAAAGCTCCTGCTTTGAGGATATCATCCACATAGAGTAGCAAGTACACCTTCTTCTCTCCTTCTCCCCTCCAATAGAACGCTCGGTCACACTCACTTTTTTGGAACCCTCCTTTCAGCAACCTCTCATCCATCGCCTTATACCACTCCCTTGGACTCTGCTTCAGCCCGTACAACGCCTTCAACAGCTTACACTTCCTATCTGTGCCGTCTTCAAACCCGGTTGGTTGATCCATGTAAAGCTCTTCTCGCATTACACCATGCAGAAACGCATTCTTGATGTCCAGCTGCACCAAGAAATAACCCCTTGCCGCTACCACCTTCAGGAATGCTCTTGCGGTTGTAAGCTTGCTCACGGGAGCATAGGTCTCGTAGTAGTCAACCCCCTCGACCTGAGTATACCCTTTTGCCACTAACCTTGCCTTAAACCGCTCCAGCTGCCCCATATCCCCTGTCTTGATCTTAAAAATCCACTTCACACCCACTGCTGCCCTTCCTTCCGGCATAGGCACTAACTCCCAAGTGCCTCTCTCTGCTAGAGTGTCCAGCTCTTCTTGAATTGCAGCCATCCATTGCTCCCTCTATGGTCCTCCCAAGGCTTCTTCAACAGTCACGGGTTCCTTAGGCAGGCTATACTTCTCCAAACTCCCCTGTGACACTAGCGCCGTTGCAGTTGCAGCCAGGAGCAGATGGGTCCTCACATCCTTCCAAGGTGTCATAACCAGTGAAACAAACTTAGCTGGTTTCTTCTTGATCCTCAGACCGCGCCTCAACTCCTCAGCCGGTGTCTCGTCCTTACTAACTTCCTTTGTTGCTGCATATATCTCGTCAAGCCCTCGTTCCTTTCCTATCACCATGGCTCCATCCTCCAGCAGCTCATTTAACTCTTTAGCAGCTTCACAAGTAGCGTCACTACCGATCAGTCTCCATGGGTTACCCTCGCCCTCCTGTGCTGTCCCATCACTGCTTTCCACGCGCTCCACATCCTGATTTTCCTCCTCTGTGCCCGTCTCTCTATGCTCTCCTTCGTGGTGCCCTTTGTCCTCCACATCTGCTGCCGCCTCTACAACCTTTTTCTTCTGCGGCTCCGGCCAAATAGGTTCCTTGGTAGGTTTGTCCGCACCACCTCCTGACTCCTCCTCATCACACCCTATCCCCTCGTTCTCCTTCTCCACTAGCAGCTTCTCCACCTTATCAAGCGCAGCTGCTGCTCCCGTTACTATCTCCTTGTTCACTCCCTTCCACTGCAGGTAATTAACATCCTCATAGAAGATGACATCCCTGGTCACCACTACCTTGCCTGTCTCCACGTCCTTAATCACCCAGCCCTTGCTCACCTTGCCCATCCCAAGGTTAATCCCCCACTTGCTCCTTGGTAGGAGCTTGTGGTCCGGTCCAACCGGCTCCCTATACTGAGCCATGCAGCCCCACACCCTTGCAAACCCCATGTTCGGCTTCCTCCCATAAAAAGCCTCATGTGGGGTCATATCTGCTGCAAGGCCTTTGGTAGGCAACCTGTTCTTCACCCAGCATGCCATCCCCAAGGCATCTCCCCAATACTTCAGTGGAAGACCGCTATCAGCTAGCATGGTCCTCACACTATCCAAGAGTGACCTGTTCACCCTCTCTGCAATGCTGTTGTGATGTGGGGTGTATGGTACCGTCAGCTGCCTTAGTATCCCCTTCGTGCGCAAAAAACTGTTGAACTCCGCATTCACAAACTCCCCACCGTTGTCGGTCCTTAACACCTTCAGCTGCTTCCCACTTTGCCTTTCAGCTTCAGCCATCCAGTCCAAGAAACTGGAAAACACCTCTGTCTTGTCCTTGATTTCTGTCACCCACGTGTGCCTAGTCCCTAGGTCAGTGAAAGTGACGAAGTACCGGCTCCCGTGCCTTGAATTTTCCCTCAATGGCCCACACACGTCAGCTGCCACTATCTCCATTGCACCGTAGGGCTCTTGAACCTGGTGTATGGGATGGGGGGTTTTTGAGATCTTGCCTTCCACACACTTGCCGCACATCCCCTTACTCCCATCTCCTTCCTTCAGCTCCACACCGGCTGCCATGCCCTTCTTCACTAGCTCCTTAATCCGCTCCATCCCCGCATGTCCTAGCCGCCTATGCAGGGTCTCTAGATCCACTTTTGCAGCTGCTGCCACCATTGCAACAGCTCCCACCTGCAACTCCTCTACTGTCACTCCTTTCAGCTTCGCCTTCAACTCCTCCCTCGCCATCACTCCTTCCTTCGGTGGTGGCTGGTAAGTAGCCTTCTCTGTTGCCAAGGCCTTCTCATTCAGCTTCATCTCATACAATCCACCATTCCTCATCCCCTCAGCGATCACATTCCATACATGGTCAAACACCCACATCTTTCTTTTGTCACTGAAAGTCTTGCACCCGGTGCTGTCCAACTACGATTGAATGATCAGGTTCAAGGCCAATCCATCCACATACAGCACATTCTCCAACTTCAATTCCCCATACTGCCCTTGCAAAATCAACTCCCTTTCGCCCTTCACAGTCAATTTCCCTTCATCCCCCAAAATCACATATGGCACACTTGATTCCCTCATTCCAGTCAACCACTCACAATGATTCGTCATATGCTGAGTGCACCCGCTGTCCATGAACCACGCACCAGCTCCACCTCCTTTTGCCAGCATGCACACCCGTGATGCGCGCGCCACATTCGCCTTATGTGCGCCACCCAGAATGGCATCTTCCTTGTCATTCTCTGCTGCTGTTGGTGCTGCTACTGCATTTGCTTTCGGAGGTGCTGATCCCTGCTGCTGCAGTCCCCTATAGCTCCGGCTGTTGGGGTTGGAGTAGCAGTCAATCGCCCTATGCCCAATCTTCTTGCAATGATGACACGCTCCGTTGAACTTCCCTTTCGGTCCCCTTCCATTTGCTGCACCATTCTGCTGTGCTCCACTCCATCCCGCACCGTTCCCCTTGTAATTTCTGCTCCTCGGGTTCTCCGCGCACTCAAACGCTTTGTGTCCTATCTTTCCACACTGGTAGCAAGCTCCCACGCTCCTTCCAGCAGCTGCCGAGTTCACCAACGCAGGTTTCTCCTGTTCCACGCCCTTGGTGAACTTCTCCCTACGCTTTTGATGATCCCGTGCTCGCTCCAACGCCTGAAGCATGGCAATAAGTTTTGTCATATTTTCCGGTGGGTGGCAGATCAACGCCGGCCGCTCACCCGACCAATCTTCAGGTAGCCCGTTGACGATGTGCCCTATCATCGCCCTTTCAGTTTCCGGCTCGCCCATCGCAGTCAAGTCATCATTGTAGCTCCTCGCCATGTTGACGTAGTCAATAATCTTTTGGTTCGGCTCCATGGTCATCAGCAACAACTTCTTCATCACGTCGGCGATGTTCGCGTCCATGTGCCCGAGGTATGTAGACTCCATGTACGCCCATGCCGCTTGTGCAGAGTTCTCAAGCTCTGCAAAACCATCAAGACCCACTGCAATTCCGTCTGCAACAGAGTGACACAACTGGAAAAACGCTAGCTTACTCCGTTTCTTGAATTCCATTTTTTCCTCTTCCGATTTCGCCGCACGCTCGGCTTTGTCGCCTTTCTCGTCCGGTCGGTAATACTCCCACAAGCCGACCTCCTTCGCCCTCCTTATGAATTTCAGTCGCCACGTGCTGTAGTGCTCGCCGTGGAACCGCTGGGCTTCGCTCAGCCCCATGGTGGGCTTGGTCACCACCCCTCCTTGCGCCAGCATTTCCAGAAGTGCCTTCACTTGGGGATCTCCAATACTCACAGAGGAGCCCGAACTAGCTTCCGATTGTCCGCCGACCATCTCGAAAGCTTCGCTCTGCACTTAAGAATGCTTAAACGCCACTTAAACCAGCTCTGATACCAGCTCTCAGGATCGTAAACACCCTAGTCGGCAATAGTCTACTTGCTATCGCCTATCGTGTTCTCCACGATCTCACGAATCCAATGATATGCGCAGCTCTGCTTGAAGTTGTCAATACACACTTCAGCAATTTTCAGAATCTCCAACTGATCAATGTTGTATTTCCATAATGAGTACAAACAGGTTTATAGTCAAGCAAGACACAAAATGCGATTCGTAACTTCATTTGTTTCCCAAGTAACCGCGTGCGCCTCGTTTCACCCCGAGTCGCACACGCAACCGAACCGAATTCGGTGAACACTCCTCAAGTCCGAATCTGGAACCTTCTCGAACGCGCCTTGGTCTCAAACCACATTTTCCCCTCGTCAACTTCAATCTCGATGCTTCTTCCACCTTCTCACACATTCCTTCTCGATTTCTCTCTCCCTTCTCACGTCGTAGGCCGATTTCCACCGCTTCTCTCTAGAATAGTCCACACGCTTCCGTCGCCTTCATTCTGCCGTCTCGACCGTATTATGTGCGCCGTCATTAGTGTGGTTCCGCGAACCACTCCAACAGTCGGCACTGACAATGGAGGGGTGGCCTTCATCGGAGCCTCATTCCTGTTGAGGAATGGTTGGGCTAAGGACTTGGGCTCCTACAAACCCTGGTACAGGCTTGCCGCATTAGCCCCCAGAGATGAACGGGCAAGGACTTGGGCTCAGGCATCACCGATCCAGCCATGGAATTCGAGCACATTTGCCTCACCAGTCACACCCAAGCCCGAGACTTGCTCCACAGCATCACCAAAGAGACAAGTGCGCCCTTAGCCTCAGTCGTGGAACACCCGCGCCATACCAATCCCCTTCTCAGATGACGGCAAGGAGAACATGAACATGTTATCCACATGGGCACCCAATTCAGGGCCAGCAAGAGTTGGTCTACAAATGAGGGATGCAACACCAGCAAGCTCTGCTTATCTCACATTTCGGTCACCATGCCTTTGGTATCGCACGCCACATTGTAGGCCGAGCTACAGTTCCCTCCAGCCAGCCACCCAGAGAATGTCCGCCCCCATGCCTGCTGGAAGTCCAGAAGGACTTGCACTGGCAGCAGAAAGTGCACGAGAGGGGAGCAGGAGGGGAGGAGAAGGATGAAGGTGGGGAAGGGGATGGGAGATAAAATAATCCACTTCGATGCACTGAGACTAGTAGTTTCTGAGAAAACAGAACGCGTGATTGCTATCACCAAGCCTGCATACGACATGAAACTAACAAGAGTCTCTCAAGGCACAATCAGGTCAAAATATGCAGTACCTGCCCCAAGGCTACAAGGTGTAACAGGAGAAGAGTCACCATGCGGTAGTATGCATAGAATTTTGAACGGGGTTTTTGCCTACTAGATTTGAACAGCCACACTTGCTAGCCTAGAGCACACTGTCAGAAAAAATTCAGTGCCAGATAGATTGGGGACACGGCTTTCCTCCGAGTCGCACTCCTTTCTCCTTGCAAGACTACCTTCTTGCTTGTATCATCCTTCATCCTATTATTCAATCTTGAATCTTGTCCTCAGCATCTTCTCCTGCTACTACTACTACTAGCATCGATCTCGGATTTTCCTATTTCTTCCGCTGCAACGCTATTATCTCTGATTTATATTCGCCTTAAGGCGCCACCACCGCCATGGCAGGCCGGCCAGCCGTACATCATGGCAGCAGCGCCGGTAGCCATGTTGGTAACTTTGCGAGATACGAAAAATAAGTGTGGGACTCGGAGCCATAAAAAATTGCAAATGTAGGACGAACCTTGAGAGGCGGCAAACGGGACACATCGGACTGGAGAAACCATCATGGCGAGACACGTCAGAAAGATGGAGATGAGAAGAAGGGTCCGTCCCGCGCCCTCCCTTGCCATCGTGGTGCGACGAGCAGGGTGGTAGTAGCTGTAATGTTCAATAGGGGCGCGTGATCTCTGTAGAGGGTTAAGCTTAAATCTACTGTTACCAGGAGCGCACACGACGTCAACTAGTAATGAGGAAGAGGAATCTGAGAGGAGCAAAATCTCTGGAAATGAAACAGGAAGGTGTGAGTTGAAGTTGAGGCAGACGATCCTTTTTCTTGCAAAGATTGCTTCGCAATTTTCTGCGTGGCTGCGACAGGGCAACATCGCTGGCGAATTCAAACTCGCGAATTGCGACCTCCCATTCAGCCATAAATTACTGATCTCTACAGACGCGAAAATATCATCGAGTTACCTTGATCTCGCAAATTTCAAGGTGACACGAGTCTAGATGGTGGCGTGGCATACCAGCAAGGCGTGTTGAGCTACCAAAAACTCGTCAGGGCCCGTGAGTCAAGACGAATCATGACAACGGTTGACCGGGTTTGATGAACACAAACCTTTTTCATTCGCCCTCACAATAACGGAGATGAACAAAACCCTAATGACCAATGATACATGAGGGCGTGTCCCATGAGTTCGTTTTGGAGATAATTCTAGAATTTCACGTAACCTGCGAGTCAGCAAAAGAGTGTACACTCTGACGGAGAAAAAACGGAATGTGTCAGCACCGAGCAAAACGGAATTGCACAAGGCGGACGCAGCGGGCGGTAACCCGCCCCAGTTGCGAATCGACCCGTGCCAAAACAGACGGAGCGCGACTCGTTCCCCTTGCGACGTTCGTGTTTTTCGCTAGACCATGGGTTGGGCGAATTTTGAGTTTACGGTAACCCTCACGCGGACCCGTTCGAGGCATCGCACGTACGAAGGTTCTCTTGTTAAACGCGTTCAAGACGTACACGTCGACGTGGGAAATGCGTCATTTGTCATGCGTCATTTAAGACGCATGTATCCAGCAGAGAGTTACATTGCAAAATAGGGTAACAAACGTGAACATATACTGCAAAACAAACTCATGTGACACGCCCTAAGTCTCCCAGCATACGAAGAGCAACGAATATATATGAACGTGCAAATTATGGCACTAACGACCAGTGCCCTCGCGACATGGGGACCTGACGACATAGCGATCTAGCCGCTAAGCCCTCGACCTAGCTTATTGCGATGTAATACTGATAGGTGGTCTAGCGGTAAGGTAGAATTGACGGTTCAGAATTTAGAAACAACGGCAAGATGCCGCTATGATGCTCATAATCTAATCCCTGCTCGCTGTGGGAATGTCGTATAATCCGCATGGCGAAATCACGCAGTCTCCTGCCAACTTCTTGCCCCCCCAACAAAATGGGTCTCCGACGGCCACGCTTCCGTTCTCTGACCTTCTTCTGTATATGCGCTGTGACGTAATCTTGAAGGATAACGTCAGGAGGAACGTCATTTTCTCCCAGGTCATTGAAATCACTAATACTGCTGCCTCCTGATGCTTCTTCGTGGGCGCCGGAGAATCGAGCGAGTGTCACGCGCGTCGTTCGCGTCGCGAGCACAGCGTGGATTGCGTGAGGCGGCGTCGCGAGAATCGCAGGCGCTGGAGCTGCAGGAGCGAATCGAATGGCGAGTTGGCGATGATGGCGCGTCAAATGACGATCAACAGAACCATCAACATGCCGCTTTTGAGAATTCTCAAGTCATAATTGACGCCTTCAATACTGCTTACAGGATCGCCTTCTCTCTCCCTGCTCCTCCTCCCATGCTTGTATTCCTCTGCTCCTCCTCCCATGCTTGTATTCCTCTTGCTCCTCCCCAACTTTTGCTCCTGATCCTCCTTCTGTACTTGTTGGGAGAAACTAAAAGAAATCCAATTGTGTACCCTTCCGAGGCATTCAAAGACATCAGAAATCCGTTCTCTTCTCCTCCCCCTCCCCGTCTCCTCAGTACCCCCTCCCCGTCTCCCCAGTACCCCCTCTGTTTCCCCCCAATCTACCCGTTATTCCCCTCCCAATTTCTCCAGACTCTCCCCTCACGCCACATGTCACTCTCTCACGGGCTACAACGATATTCTGGAGAACTGGGCGTTGCACGCGCAGGCAGTGGGTCTGGGCAGCCATTTCATCGTCTTTGCCGCCGACCAGACAGCGCTAGCCTTCGCCACAAGCAAGTAGCCGAGCAGGTGCGTCCTGCTGAGAGCACGAGGGGTGTTCTGCTGAGGTGACGTATGGCTGGGTGCTGCATGGCTGGGTGCTGCATGGTTGGGTTGGGTGCTGCATGGCTGGGTGATGTACGGTTGGGTGCTCCATGACAAGAAGGAGGGGCGCGCGGAGAACGAGGAGGAGGGGCGCGCAGATACGGGGAGCGGTGAGCTTGAGAGGGAGGTGCGGCGGGTAGGTGAAGGTAATAGGAGGTCACCCGAGGCAAGGACGGCGGCGAGGATAAGCGCGAAGAATGCGAGTCTGGAATCCATAGCGATGCTGAGAAGAACGGTGCAAGAAGCCTCAACACGTTCTGACGGCCCTCCCCGTCATTCTGATTCCCGTCGTATGCATATACTCATCATTTGCGAATCTCCCTTGTGGTACTCTGTCCATGTGCCATGCATGCATTCACATTCGTTTATGAGAGCCCTTTCTCTGGACCCCTCCTCTATTTCACTCCATCTATGTTAAGATTCATCGCCTTGTCTAATGCTACACTCTTTCTCGATTCCTCTAACCCGTCCAAGCTCCACACCTTCTTTCCGTGCACCTTCCACCTCATGACACGTTCAGGCCTTTCTCTTGGCGCTCGCTAGGCTGGATGCTTTCCTCTCAGAGACGGTGAATGGCAGGTTTGCTTGCAAAGACGTTGTCATGCCGGTGCAGATGGTACGCTGCAGCTTTCCAAGTTTTGCTCCTCTGCCGCTGCGCGTCATGCTTACCAGATGAGTGCAGCGTAGCACGGCGTGTTGAGGCCGGTGCTTAGATGCTGACAGTCTACAAATGACTGACTTGACTGACTGGGTTTACAGGGCACCATGGAGGTCGGCTGCGCACATGGGGAGGTGGCAGGCAGGACGCGAGCTTGGCATGGCTGCTCGCACATGCCACTTGAGCACGCATGTTGCTCTTGTGGCTTCCAAAGGAGGTGCATGACGAGTGGGGTGGGTGCAGCTGTTCCCTTCAACGGAAATTTGGAGTCTTCACTGTAGGGGGTCTCTGTTTGCGAGCGATAGTTGAAGTGGCGTGTCACCGTCCTTGGAATGCGGCTGCAGCCTTGGGAGAGCAACTGACGGAAATGCGAACCTTTAATCACAACGCACCACCCTCCTGCCATTCCGTGCCTCTCACCTGTCAATCAATCCTTTGGTTGGTGCCTTCGTTCCATTCCTTCAGGACCTTTTGTTTGGCGCGGTGTGGCGAGTGGCGGCAGAGTGCTGAGGTATGAATGTAGACATGTGAATGTGTTGTTTCCGTGAGAGGTGGGATGAGCATGGGACAAAGGGGGAGAGGGGCGGGGGAGAGGGAGATGAGGGGAAGACGAGGAGGGGAAGAGGAGGGAGTGAGAAGAGGGGGGAGAGGGGCGGGAGGGATTATGGGGGTAGAGAAGGATGGGAGGGGAGGGGGGAGAGGAGGGGAGAGGGGAGGGGGGTGTGGGAGGGGGGTGTGGGAGGGGGAGGAGAGGCGGGAGCTGGGAAAAGGGAGAACGGTTATGGTTTTCTGGATGACACAAGTAGATAAGGGGTCGTACGAGCAGAAGAGCGAGAGAGTTACAAGCTTGTGTTTCTGCTGTCTGGCCGTCACAAGCTTTGGGGCACCTCAAAAGTTGGATGTCCTGCTGCTGGCTGGCTGCCACTCGCGCCACAAGGTCATGTATGGTCACCTATCCATGACACTGCACACCAAGTTTTGAGGCCGAGCTATCACCCTGGACTGGAACAACTTGAACAGGAGCCCGAGCGCTTCTCTGTGCCGCGATTACAAGTTACTCTCAGTTTCCTGCTCGGACGAGTCGTGGCATCCCATCGCACGAGTCTTGGGGAAAGGATGGCGTCGGTTAGTGGATACTGTGCTGGGGATCGGTCATGTGGACATAAGGGTTCACGCCTTTATCTGGACATTGATGGTGCATGGAGAAGCCATGGAGCCGTGCGCTAGGTAGGCTGGATGCATTCCTCTCAGAGACGGTGAATGGGCGGGTTGCAACGACGCTGTCATGCCCATGCAGATGCAGATGGTATGCTGCACTGCAGCTTTCCAGGTTTTGCTACTCCGCCGCTGCGCGGCATGCTTACCAGATGAGTGCAGCGTAGCACGGCGTGTTGAAGCTGGTGCTTAGATGCTGACAGTGTGCATGACTGACATGACTGACTGGGTTTATGGGGCACCATGGAGGTTAGCAGCGCACGCATGAGAGGTGTCAGGCAGGACGAGAGCTTCGCATGGCTTCTGCACGCACATGCTGCTTGAGCACGCATGTTGCTCTTGTGGCTTGCAATGGATGGAGGTGCATGACGAGTGGGGTGGGTGCAGCTATTCCCTTTAACGGAAATGTGGGGTCTTTCAATGTAACAGGTCTCTGTTTGAGAAGGAGAGGCAGAACGAGAGGCAGGAACAGCAGGCGCTCCGCCAAGCAGCAGAAGTGGCGCTTGCGACTCCAGGAGCAGTGGCGAGGAGAGTAGGATGGAGGCTGAGGGGGTGGTCAAGGGGGGACGAGGAGGTGGTGAAGGGGGGTGTAGGGGAATAGGGGGGGTTGCCACTGGGGCGGCGGAGGCCATAGAGGATGCGTGGGGCGTTACCCACAGTTGGACGGTGCCCAGCCCCAGGGGCGGTTGACAGGCTGCATATCAGCAAGGTGGGTCAGTGGGGTGGGGGGGGTGCGTGTGGGATTTGCTCGTCGGCAATATGTGGAGATAACAGAGACATCCAGGTTGTCACCCAGTTGAGAACCTGGTTGTCGCCGAACTGGAAGATTCTTATTCAGACCTGGTGAGGTGAGGAGTCGCTGTCAGTGGTTGTGGGATGTCTTTGAGAGTGAGTGGAGGGAGCACATATCATGGGAAGGCCAGGTGAGTTAAGAAGGTGGTTCCATGCAAGGTGGCATTCCAGTTACCTCTTGTACGTACCCTCCCAATCCCTGATTCCGTCCATGTTCCCACCTAGCCTCAATTCGCCCCCCAATCCCCCCCCATCCCATCTAGCGAGCCTCGCAAGATGCGAGTTTCATGTCTGTATCTACACCTTGTGACTTTCAGATGTTCGCCTCTAACTTAGCGAATCACTACCAGGGCTAATTTTTGGTTTTGACCAACCCTTACGATCAGTCTAGCACCTATACAAAAACCTGATTTTCAGGGTTACCTGCCATGGAAAACCTGATGCGTCAGGGTATTTGCATGTATTAAAAAGACTACCCTGAGGCATCAGTGTACCAATTCGCAAAACCCTGCTTCAGTTGTTATTAACACTGCACACAATAACAAGCTTAATCATCATCATCAGACATGCCACACGGTTGTTGCTCGTGGTCACTGTCCTCCTCTGGCTCCGGCACTTTCTCCTTGCCCTTTCGTTCCGCTGGGGTCGGCAGGGCCACTGTTTTTGTCGGCCGTCTGGTAATGCTGGCATGTCAGACAACAAGACCAAGTCGCTTTGTTGGCGATGCCTCGAATGAAACTGTATTTCTGGCCAATGGTGGCCCACCTCGTTCCAGCACACACAAAGTCATGCCGAAATCTACATTTTCAAGAGTTGGCCAAGGGAAAATCCAGGTTTCGGGGTCGGGTGGTTAGGGGACGGGGGGGGGGGGGGGGGGGGGGGGGAGGGGGAGAGAGGGGGGGGGGGGGGGGTGCGGGTACGCGCTGCAGGGTAAACCTCGATAAGCGGAACGGCAACCCTGAGGCGACAGTGTTCTTTAATCTTAAAACCTGGCACATCAGGGTAAATCAAGGTCCCGGGAAAATTACCCAACAGCATCAGTGTTACTACCAAAAATCACCCTTCTAGTTAGGGCGTCAGGGTGAGTTACACTAATAAAATGGGCCCTGGTCACTACCCCCTGCCTTCCCCTTTCTCCTCCCCATAACCTGTTTTCCCCCCTTCTCCCCTTTCCCTCTCCAGCTCCGCACCTTTTTCTCCACCACGGACGAACACACTCACGTCTCTACGACACTGTCTCGACATCCCTTCCACCCCCCAGCCTTCTCATCCACGCACTGCTCCCCTCCTTTTCCCCCCTTAGCTCCGCACTTACAGGTTTCATGCCCCTACAGAACTGTCTCACTGTCTCCCACATCCCTCTCATAAGCGGCTGCTTCTTTTCCTCTCCCCCCCTCCCCTTCACTACCCCTCCCCGCTCCCTACCTGCTCCTCCCACGCCAACGTCTGCCCTACGGATGGATTCCTGCCCCTACAGCGGTGCTACACTGCTCACCGACGCGCTGTCCCTTCCTCTCTTCTTCCCACCTCCCTCAACCCTTTCCCCGCCTTACCACCAGCTCTGCACCGCACCTGCTTCTCCTGCATTGAGTTCTGCGCTTCCTTAACAGGTTCCCGCACTGTTCTCGTGGAACCTGAGGGCTGCCTTCTCCCTTCCCCCCTCCCCCCTTGCCCTCCACGCCACCCCACTTACCACCAGCTCGCATTTCGCTTTTGTCACCTACACAGGCTTCTGGCCAACGGACGGACTCCCACCCGCACAGGTCTGTCTCCCACATCCCCTCATAAGCCCCTGTGCTGTTTACTCTTTCCGCCAAAGTTCCCAAACTCCCCCCTAGCCCCCGCAGCTCCACACCTGCTTCCCTCACACCCATTTGTGCTCCACCGACTCTCTCGCTCCCCCCCTCCCCCTCTTGGCGCGGGCGCACTGTGCAACCAAACCAGGCAGAGACTGCGGAGGTGCGTGAGAGGCTGCATGCAAAGCTGGGCTGCTGGGTGCTCCGTGGGGGTGGTTGTGGAGGGACGAGCAGAGGGAGGAGGAGGGGCGGTCTATGTGTGTGTGGGGGGTAGTGGTCTGCTTGATTCTTGTGGGTTACTGGTGGGTCACGGTGTGGTGAGGTTGGGCGGGGCTGCTGGGTGCCTCACGGACAGCAAAGGGAGAAGGAGGGGCGTGGTGGGTGAGGTGCGTGTGAGTTACACGTGCTGCAACGGCAGGTCACTGGTGTGGCTGCACGCAAGGCTGGGGGAGAGGGGGGGAATGCTGGGTGGCGTGTACCTAGAGCAGAGGTTCTTGCTGGGTGCTTTTCCTTATGACGAGCAGAGGGAGGGGGAATCGCGTGTGTGGTGAGAGGGGTGTAAGCCACTCGTGCATCGCTAGCAGGTCACTTCTGTAGCTGCATGTGAGGCTGGGAGGAGCTGGGTGCCGTGTGGCCGTGTTATTCCTCGGGGAGGAGCAGAGGAAGGCGGAGGTGGGTGGTGGGAAGGGCATGGGCTAGTTATGGTTCACCAGCATGTCGCTAGTAATGAGGCTGCAGGCTGCTGCTGACTTCTTTCCTTCTCAAGAACGGGCACCTGCAGAAGAAGGTGCATAATATGGGGTACGTAAGCAGGTCAGTCTCAGGTGAGTCTCGAGTCCCTGTGTCTGATTTCCCTGCGCCTGAATGTTATGTTCCTGAAATTCTATGTGCCTAGATTCCCTATTGCAGTGCTAGGGAATCTAGGCACATAAAATTGGATATGGAGACGTTGAAGGGGAATGAGACGCCTGTCGTGCTACCACTTCCATTGGCACCCCAATGCCTTTTGTGTCCACCCTTTCAATGTGGTGAAGGACAGTCTCTTGATCTCGTCACCCCGTTTCACCGTGAACCCATCACACCATCACCCATTACTCCATTACCCCATCGCCCCATCATCCCACCTTCCCTCTACCATGTCCGAGCATTGGCCCTCACAGGTGTTGAACAGCTTTCCCAGCTTATTGCCTGCCCTGCCCCCACCTGTGCCCATCTCCTTTTGCTTCTTCGAGGCAGGAGCTATGGACTAAAAGGCAAGGAATCCATGTGCTTGCAGTTCATGTTCTCTCTCTCCCCCTATTCCTAAACTCACTCCCCGCCTTCCCCACCTCTTCCACCGCGTCACTGCGGGTCGCTACAGCCTGCATCTCTCGCCACTCATCCTTGTTTGCCCATGCTCGTTCTCTCTCCCTGCCATGCATCACCCCACCCACTCCACTCCCACCAACCCACTTCTTTCCAACTCTCCCAGCCCATTATGGCACATGCTACAGCGTGCACCTTCCCCCGCCCTACCTCGCTTTCCCTCCCTCATTGCTTTGCTCATTGCGTTTTCCTCCCTCCTCCCACCCACCCCACCACCCCGCCTACAGCCCCCCAGCTCTTCCAGCACATCATGGTTCGGCGCTTACACTCTCCACCCTACCTTTCTCTCTCTCTTGGTGATAGGCCGTTTTTCCTCCAGTGTGCTCTGCCTCTTCTCATCCTTCATCCTCCTCGCCCTTCCCTGTGCTGCCCTGCACTCTCTGCCTGCCCTACCTTGCCTTTCATCTCACTCCTAACTCTTGGTGGTTTCTCCATCACAGTGCTCTGCCTCTTCTCAGCCATCCATGCCTTCTACGACAGCGAGAAAATGCCATCAGTATCAAGGTCTCACCACTTGGGGATACGAGCTCGAGTGGATGCTGTGGAACAGTACTCTGCTGCTGCTCAAGAATGGCGGCACATTCGCTTCAGTCATACAGTGCCTATGGATGTCTAGAGCATGTCATCCTTGGGCATGATACCAAATTAAATAAATCGATAATTAAATTGTGTGTCTTGTTCGAAGGTGGTCCCACCGTGCACCTCCTGTCCAAAGAGCTACCTTGGGCCTTATACGGAGACCACCAGCACATCACCATCATGATTGCCTAATATAATGATTTTGAAACAAATATACATGCATGTTACACAAGCTTTCAGCAATGCCTATGGCCAGGCAGATACCATATGGGGCACTTATGCTGCCTTCATTCACTGCGAATACCGTAGATGTCAGCTGCACTACACAATACACCATGCGAAGTATTACCCCGCACAAAAAGAATCAGTTGGCTTTGTCTCAGCCCGAGATAATCAAATCAAGCTTTGAACAGTTTGGTTGGCATGGCAGATGCCAGCGTTGTGAGTGTGGGAGGGCAGGGGGGGCTGATCAGACAAAGTGATGTGCCAAAGCAACCCAGCTCACCAAAGAAGAAGAAGAAGAAGAAGAAGAAGAAGAAGAAGAAGAAGAAGAAGAAGAAGAAGAAGAAGAAGAAGAAGAAGAAGAAGAAGAAGAAGAAGAAGAAGAAGAAGAAGAAGAAGAAGAAGAAGAAGAAGAAGAAGAAGAAGAAGAAGAAGAAGAAGAAGAAGAAGAAGAAGGAGGAGGAGGAGGAGGGGGAGGAGGAGGAGGAGGAGGAGGAGGAGGAGGAGGAGGAGGAGGAGGAGGAGGAGGAGGAGGAGGAGGAGGAGGAGGAGGAGGAGGAGAATAAGAAGAAGAAGAAGAAGAAGAAGAAGAAGAAGAAGAAGAAGAAGAAGAAGAAGAAGAAGAAGAAGAAGAAGAAGAAGAAGAAGAAGAAGAAGAAGAAGAAGAAGAAGAAGAAGAAGAAGAAGAAGAAGAAGAAGAAGAAGAAGAGCGCCAGGTGCAGCTGGGTGCTCATGTAGCAGCAGAGAGGCCGTCGAAGGTGCCTGCTGGGACAGGAGTGGTTCGACCACCAGAGCTGGCGAGAGGTCGGCCCAAGGCGCAGCGGACGGAGTTACGTGCTGCAGCAGGTGGGGCTGCAGTGCGGGCGAGCAGGGTCGATACAAGGCGAGGCGTGTAGGCAATGTCGACATCTGAGCGTGCTGCACAGGGAGGGCGGAAGGCACATGGGGGAAAGGAAACGGGGCAAACGCATCCTTGGCTGATGGATGAAGGGGCGCGAACCAGATGACGTTGCTGCTTCGCATGCTGGTGCCCCTCCGTGTGCAGCGGGAGGGAACGTGGCTAGCCCTGAAAGGAAAAGATGCTTCCCTTCCCTCACATAACGCCATGCCACGATCGAGAATAGGGTGCGTCGTCATCTCCGTGCTCTGCTCGCCTCTCTAACATCCGTACTCTCGTAGGTTCACCCCCTCTTCTCTTTACGTGTTCACCCCATCCCCTGCATGTCCTGCAGACGTCTTCCTCCTCGGCTCCACCGTCCTCTTTGTCCCCTCCACCCCTACCGACGTTTCTCTCATCCTTTCCTCCTTCATTTTCCCCCACCCCACCTTTCCTTCCGTCGCGTTCCCATTGCCATTCTTGCTTCTCAGCCCTGCTCGCCAACTGCTCTTCCCCCTCCTTTCCCTTTTCATTCTGCCTTCTCTATCTTGCCCTCTCTGTCCCCTGTCCCTTCCCACCATCAGTCTCCCCAACATGTGTTACAGCAGCGCCGCAAGGCAAGCCCTTTCCTCCCACCCGTCCTTCCTCTCCCATCCATCCGCTCCCCCTGTCCTCTCCCATCCATCCCCTCCCCTTTTCCCCTCCCATCCATGCCTCCCCCTCCCATCCATCTCCTCCTCCCCCCTTTCCTCATCCATCCATCTCCCCCCCCTCCTCTCCTGCCCCTCTTGTCTGCCTTTCCTCCCCTCGCCTTCTCCACCGTTCGTAGCTTTACCTGAGACCAGAAATTTATTCAATTGTATTCTCTCTCCTCTTTCCCTTCCCCTTGGCCCCCCCCACACCTTTCCCGACTCTTTCTTTCCTTCCTCGTTCACTCTCTCCCATCCCCACATGTCTTCCCCTACCGTTCCCAAAATCCGATCCTGCTTCATATCCCTTTTCGCCTTCTGCATTGTCGGACCTCATTTCCCCCCTACTATCTACCTTTCTTCTTTCCCTCCTCTCTCCCCTGGCCTGCCCACAATAGTTTCTGCCGCCTCTCCGCAGTAAGAGCATCAGCCACGGCGACATGGATTGTGGGGATCTGTGGTAGCCGTCAAAGAGCCACACCGACATACGCTCATGTACTGCGCGACGCCAGCGCTTCCTTACCCTTCCTCTTTTCCTCTCCCTCTCCGCGTTACACTTCCGTCTTGCCATGCCGGTGCTTATCTGCGGTGGTGTGGCAGATGGCATGGCGATCTGGTCTGAAGCCAAATCATCCTCAACAGCACAAGCAATCGAATCATCATGTGTTAACATCAATGCCTGCAAGTTCTTTCCTCTCTCCGACCCTCCGCTTGCACCTCCTCCACCTGTCCCTCCCCTCCCCTCTTGCCCCCTCCTCCTCCCTCCGCCTGCAACCTTTTCACAAAGATTGAGATTCAGTGGCTGACGTGGCAGCTACAGGGCCTTCCACGTGGCGCCAATGGGAAATATTGGCGGCACGGAGTGCTGGAGAGTGGGTGACGTGGCGGTAAGGTTGAGCAAAGGGCGAACGCGAACATGTTCGCCCTTGCACGAACATGGCCGCTCGGCGAACTGAACACTGTTCGATTCGCCGAACGACTTCCCCAAAAAAGGGTGTTCGCCGTTCGCCTATGAAGGCGTGTTCGGGCGAACCTCGAACACATTCGTGTTCAACACGGGGCGTTCTGAAGCAGCGCCACGAACATGAACACGTTCGGGCGAACCTCGAACACGTTCGGGCGAACAATTTTTGCTAAAAAACAAAACTTGTTCGGTTCGCCTCGAACAGGTGTTCGTTTCTTTGCTCATCCCTACGTGGCGGTTGCCAGCGATGTCAAGAGTGCAATGGGGCGCAGCGCTCCCATCGTCCTGGGACAGGAGCAGCAGGCGAGGGCGGCGTGGGAGAAGCAGGTGAGAGCAGGGCGTGAAGGGCGGGAGGAGCAGATGTGTATGCAATGAAAGGTTTGTTTGCCTCACATATGAGAGATGTGAATGTTGTCAAGGAAGCACACGTGGCCGAGGTAGTAGGAGAGGGACATGGGACGAGTCCAAAAGGCGAGCTATGGGAAAGCGTATGAAAATGCGACTTGATTGCAGAACCAAAGTGTAGAGTGTGTGCTAGCAGAGCTGCTGTGGTGCCTTGAAAAAGTCCACTCAATGTCGTGCAGCCGTGCTATCCGCTTTGACCATCGGTTTTTGCCAGCTTCCTCAGCAATGTCAGTTCCTTTGCTGCTGTGCTGCCTTGCACTCGTGGGAATTCCTACGAGTTCCTCTGCTCGCTGCTGCACTGCCTTGCCTCCAAAGCCGCCACCATCGCCGCTACCACTTCTTCTCCTGCCCGCGCCCACACGCCGACCCACACGCATGCCCCCACCCACACCCACGCCCACGCACATGGACCTGCCCACACCCACACGCCAACCCTGGGAGAAGGCCGGGCGGGAGGAGGCAAGGAAGGAGGGCTGGGTATTGAGGGGGAGAAGGGAGGAGAGAGGAGAGAGAAGGGTGGAGTCGGGGGAAAAATAATAGAGAAGGCAAGTACTCGGTCCAGGAGTGATTGTGCTGTTTGAGCAATTTCCTGTCGACGGTGGGGGTGGTGAGGGAGTGTGAGGGGTGCGGAACGAGAGAGAGCGGTGAGGAGGAGTTTCTCTGTCTCTCACTCCCCATGCCCTCCTCCTACCACGCGTCCCCTGCACCTCACTCCACCACTGCTGGATCTGCAGCTCTTGCTGCTCCTGTTGGCTCTACTGCTAGTGCACGCAGCAGCAGAGGTGCCAGAGGCGATCATACCTATCCTGGTGCTGTTAGCACTGGCCATGCTCCTGCTGCCTCTCTCACTCACCATCCGCTCTCTGTAGCAAAATCTATTCCGGGTACAACCTGCTTCCAGTCCCTTGCATCTGATTGCTATCCATTTGCTTTCTCATTCGCACCATGTACCATCCGTTCCGTTTCGCTTTCGTACGTTCTCTCGGGCATGCACCCAGCATCACCACTCTGCACTGTGCCACACCTCCCGAGCCTTTCTGCGCCTTCCTCGCATCCTTATCCTCCACCTCAACCGATTCCAAACCACCTTCCACCGCACTTCTTCTTTTGAGAAACCCACTTTGTCCTGGAGAGTCCAGTGCCTCCCTTGACAACCCCCAACGCAGCACCCGCTCCCCACCGCCTCTCTTGTGTGATGTGAACCACCTCACCATGCAGTGCCCTTCCCTGGCCAGCCATCTTCTGAGATTGCTCAACACACACATGTTCTGTGTCCACAACAAACTGCCCTTCCCGCTGCTCCTCCCTCTGCTCCATCTAGCGGCATCTCATGCTACAAGCGGACCAGCCTCCGCCCGTTCCCCCGTGTCTGCTCTTTTGTCTGATGCTGGCGCTTCGTCCTTCAATCTTGCTGGCAAAGGCTGCAGCCAGGCACATGGTATGTAGGGAGGTGGTGTCTAAGGAGGTGCTATCTGAGGGGGTGGTTTTTGGGCTCAAGTGGGGGAGCCGGCTGATAATATGTATGAGGGAGGTGGGTGGAGATGTGGAGGGAATGGAAATTGGGGAGATGGTGGAGGGGCAGGTGGTTGAGATGGTGGAGGGGCGGGTGGTTGAGAGGGTGGAGGGGCAGGTGGTTGAGAGGGTGGAGGTGCGGTTAGTTGAGAGGAGAAATTGGAAAGTGAGGGGAAGGAGGAAGATCAGGAGGAGGTGCGAGGGGGGAAGGTCGGGGGTAGGGAGTGTGAACAGGAGGATGAAGAGGTGAAAGAGGATTGACCGGAGTCGCTGAAAGGAGCAGCTGGTGTGATTGGGGAGGGTGCGGGCGATGCAGCGGATGAGAGCAAACTGAGGAAGAGCAGTAGTGGAGTGGGTGGCAATGTTGGCGTGGAGGGAAAGGAGGCGAGCAGCGCGCGGTCTGAGTGCAGGAAGAACATGGCTGAGGTGAAGATTCGAGATCGCAGTATCTCTTGATGTGTGTGAGTTATCACGTAGTCTTGGTCGAATTCGTGAATAATCTTTCCCAGAAATTGTCTTGCGCCCTTTTATGCTGCTATATCATGCATTGACTCTCTATTTTTACTTCTCTATTCTGCTGCCAACTATGATGTTCATCACATCAGGTCTCTTTTGCGCAGCAGCAATGCACGAGTTTGTTTCTCAAGGCAAATAGGTGAGCTTATTTTATTGCTCAGGCTTGGCAAGGAAGTGTGTTGGCATATAAAACGATTTCTTCTATAGAATTAAAGTATAATTCATGTAACATGCTCCCACTCCTCTTTCCCTCTACCCCTCTTTCGCCATGCTCTGGCAGCTTTCGTTTGGCATTTTCCTACTTAATTCTTTCACACAGCAGCACGGCAGTATGGCGGCAGCATACCATTGTCCCATTTCCATCTTTAAGTTCATACGCCGTCGCTCCCACCCTCTCCTAGTGTCTCCACGTCACCACAACCACTTGGCAGCTCCCTATTTGCTCTGTGGTCCGTGGTGCGACACGTGGGGACCTCTGTGGCACATGGACATTGCATTGCTGGTGTGGCAGATGACAGCCTATCACCGCCTGGTTGGACGCAGCTCGATGATGGCGCTGTGATCGGAAGCATTAGTTGCTCTGAGAATGTTGCCTGCACCACTCCATCATTCCATGCTATTCTTGCCTGCAGTCCTGACAACCCCCTCCATACACACTTAACTACATTCTTCTCATCAAACATAACTTTTCTCCCTTCAAATGCGCAAGTATCAAAGGCTTTTGTCTTAGCTTCTCAATCCCAGAAGGAAGCTTACATACTGTACATGACGTGCTCTTCTACGTACTAATGGATGCATGATCATACGGTATGCAAAATTGTGTAATATTTCAAATAGATCAACGTAGCCCACTCATGCACCGCCACTGCAGCCTTGTGCGCAGCTTCTCCCGTCTGTGCTCTGCTTTGCCGCCTGCGCGCTACTCTCACCTGCGCTGCACTCATGGCGACTCTCAATGTCCTCGCTTTCGATCCTGACGGTCGCCCGATAGAGTTTGCCACTTGGCTCGACGACCTGCAACTGTTTCTTATGAATGATGCCAAAGACGGAGTTTCACTATTCGATCACGCGTCTGGCACTTCCGTTGCTCCTGCTAACACTACTACCGCTCTTGACCACTCACAGTGGCAGACTCGTGATGCTTCTGCGCGCCTCGCTATTCGCAACCATCTGCCGATCACTAAGCGCGTGCACTTTAGTCAGCACAAGACTGCTAAGGCACTGTATGAGGCTGTAGTTGCCCGCTAGTCTTCCCCAGCCACTGCAGCCCTAGGTCGTCGTATGCTACCCTACCTGTTCCCCGACCTGTCCTCGTTTACCACCGCTGAGGACCTCATCTCTCACATGCGTGCTAGTGACGTTCGCTTTCGTGCCGCCCTTTCAGACGAGTACCTCGCCGAGAATCACCCTCCTCGTCACCTGCCTCTCTGACACTCTTTGCTCAGTCAGGGACCACTTTCTCGCCCTAGACCCTATCACTCTCACTGTCGCCGACTTCGAGAAGCACCTCCTAGCAGCCGAAAAGAACATTCTCGCTGTATGTGTTGCTCGTGGCACTCCTCGCACTCCCCTCTTTGAGGGGTGCTCCCTTTCCCCTCTTGCCCCCTCCTACGCCTCTGCTGCTGCTGCTCTCGACTACCTTGGTGCTGAGGAGGTCGGGGCTGCTTCCGCTCCTAGTGGGAAGCGCCGCAGCGCTAGGGGCAACAGGGTTGGCAGGGGAGGTGGAGGTGGCGGTGGAGGGGGCGGTGGTGGAGGCGGCGGGGGAGGTGGAGGTGGTGGAGGTGGTCGTGGGGGTGGAGGTGGTGGTGGGGGTGGCGGTGGAGGAGGCAGCGGTAGTAGTGGGGGAGGAGGGAGCGGTAGTGGCAGCGGTGGTGGGGGCTGGAGTGGAACCGGCCTGAAGGGGAGCTCCAGTGGTGGCCACGGACAGCAGCAGCAGCATCAGCAACCGCAGCAGCAGCGTCAGCAGCAGACCCTCTCCCCTTAGCAGCTTTATGACTGGTATGCTCAGCGAGGAGCGTCTGGAGGTCCTGTTTGCTGCCCGTATATCATTCGCACAGGCGCCCGCGCTGGTCGGCCATGCGGCGGGTATCACACTGAGCACCGCTGCTTCTCTCGGCTTAGCGACGCCTGGCGTGCCAAGTTTCCTGAGGCTACTGAGTTCCCCCCTTGGGCAGACCTGCTTAGGCGTGGTGTTCCTATCTTTGATCTTGACCATGATGCAATTCTTGCTGCCATGTATGCATTGACTGTTAGTACTGAGGGTGACTGCTACTTGTGTATGCCACCTGACCCAGGTATAGAGTCTGTAGCCCTAGGTGCTAGTGAGTCTGTTCTCCTTGGTACTGCGTCCGCTCAGGCCTTGCACACCTTTACACTTGACTTTGGTGCTTACCGCTGTTTCTTTCGCGACAGTACCATAGTCACTCCCCTCCCTGCACCTGTCCCTGTCTCACTGTCTGACCCCTCTAGAGGGGCAGTGCTAGCACGGTCCACTACTGTGCTTCCGTGTCCGGCGGTCCCGTCTGGTGAGCTGTCTGGTCTACACCTCCCCTCGTTCTCTACGAACCGAGTGAGCAACGCCGTCCTTCAGGATCATTGGGTTGACACCTTTACTTCTGGAGGACAGCGTGTGGCGATCTGCATGTGCTCTCGGACTGGCCGCCACCTGGCCACGTTCACACGTGCGCCTGGTTCCAGTCTGTACACCCTCACCACCGCGTCGTGCTACACCCCTTGGTCTCCTCAGTTGTACGCGTCCACTCAGGTAGCTACCCAGTGTGAGTGTCGCCGCCTGTCGCACCAGACTCTCCTTTGGCACCACCGCCTTGGTCACCCCTCCTTGACTCGCCTTCATGGCATGCACTCTCGCTCCCTGGTCTCTGCTCTTCCCAGGTCTCTGCCCTCCCTCCCTCCCTCGCCTGCGCCGCCCTGCATTCCTTGCGTCGAGGGGCGGCAGCGCGCTGCTCCTCACTCCTCCTCGTTCTGTCGTCGGCGTCTCCCTCTCTCCCCACAGCAGCTGCGTGAGTGGTACGTTAGCCATCAGGGTCACGCTACTGGAGCTGGGGGCCTGCTGTGGGAGGCGCTGGCATTGGGAGCACTGGAGCTGATGACTCTGCTACTGGAGGTGTTTCTATTGGAGTTCCTGGACCCGCTGGTCCCGGAGGTGCTCGTACTGGAGGTACTGGAGCTGCTGGGGCTGGAGGTACTGCTGGACCTCGAGGTGATGCTGTCGACCCTGAGGCTGGAGACCCTGGAGCTGGAGGTGCCGGCTTGGGGGGTGTTGCTGTTGGAGACATTGAGGCTAGAGACCCTGGGGCTGGAGGTTCTAGAGCTGTTGGAGGTGCTGGCGCTGGTGGCACTGGAGCTGGAGGTTCTGGAGCTGCTGGAGGTGCTAGTACTGGAGGTGCTGGCGCTGGAGGTTCTCGAGCTGCTGGGGGTTCTGGCGTTGGAGGTTCTAGATCTGCGGGAGGTGCTGGAGCTACTGGTGCTGGTGGCACTGCTCAGCCGTGACTGCTCTTCGCTCCGCCGTCACCTTCGTCTCTGCCGCCGCCTGACTCCGTGCTTCGCCAGGTTCTTAGCCTTCCGTCTTCTACTGGTCTTCCGTTATAGCCTGGCTCACCGCTGCGTGCTCCTTCTCCTTACACTGAGCAGACATGAGGTCTTGCTGAGCGTCGTGCGCCTGCGTCTCGTCCTATCTCGTCTTTTCACACTGTCTGCACTGATCGTACTGGTTGTCGTGTTCCTCGTGAGCGTCCGCCGGCTGTCCCCGGCACACACCTCATGGCCCTGCATCCTTCCTCTGTTCCGCAGCGTGTTCCCCTGCCGTCCCCTTCTGCGTCTTCTCTGCCTGACGTTCCAGACCCTGAGTCTGACCGCGCTCGTGCTGCTCACCCTACTGTCACGCGTCTGCTTGCCGCTGTTGTCACTGACCCTTCGTTTGAGTCCACTGCTTCGTCTACTTTAGTCGCTGAGTTTGTTCACTTTGCTGCTGCCTGTCGTCTAGACTTCGCAGCTAGTCTTGTTGCTGAGTCTGGGTCTGTCTGTCCTCCGTCCATCGGGGGTGAGTGTGCTCTTGGCACGGACGTCCTTGAGGATAGGCAGGAGGACTTTGAATGTCTTGCAGCTGTTGTACCTCATCTCGTGGCCATGCTGCTTGCCCTTGAGGGAGACCCGGATGCTCCAGACATCCCGAACCCGCGCTCTTACGCAGAGGCAATTTCGGGTCCCTACTCCTCTCAGCGGCACACAGTCATGGACGCAGAGATGGCATCCTGGAAGTCCACAGGCACTTACGTCGATGAACTGCCCCCTCCTGGGGCGAACATCGTCGATGGCATGTGGATTTTCAGGGTGAAGTGGCCGCCGGGTTCTCCGCCTATCTTCAAGGCTCGTTACGTTGCACGAGGCTTCAGTCATCCACAGGGAGTGGACTTCTTCTAGACCTTCTCCCCCACCCCAAAGATGACCACTCTTTGGGTGCTGCTGCACGTCACCGCTCAGCGTGACTACGAGCTTCACTCTCTGAACTTCAGCACAACCTTCGTACAGGGCAGTCTGCACGAGGAGATCTAGCCGCGCCGACTACCTGGCTTCACTGGGTTGTTCCCTCCTGGTACCCAGTGGAGCCTTCGTCGGCCGGTCTACGGTCTCCGCCAGGCACCTCGTGAGTGGCACGACACACTGAGGAAGATGCTTGCGGCTCTTGGGTTCGCCCCTTCCACTGCAGACGCGTCGCTGTTTCTACGAACCGACACTTCGCTGCCACCGTTCTACATCCTCGTGTACGTCGACGACTTGGTCTTTGCCACTGCTGACATTGAGGCCCTCGCCCTGATGAAGTCAGAGCTGCAGAAGAGACACACGTGCACAGACCTGGGTGAGCTTCGCAGTTACCTTGGCTTCATGATCACCCGGGACAGAGCACGCCGCACCATCACCCT